TTAGGGAAATTTGGGGTTGTACTTTTGGCTTGATGGGGATTCATTTGATGATGCCACTATTGGTTACCGATCTTTTCAACAGCTTGATATGCCGGATATTCCAAATTGTGGGAAGGTAGCAAATCTTCGGGGCAACTATCTTATGGGAGGTGTGGGAGAACTTTTGATGGGACTTTTCTTAATATTGAGGAAATTAAGCTTCAAGATTTGCGGTGTTAGTTCTCAATTACTAAGGAGGGCGTGCGCTTCTCAAAGTTGGATGTGTGGTTGAATCTCGAAAACATTGTTAACAGTGGTACCCAGTGTGTTTGTCCTAGAGGCAGATGACATCCACCTATAGATAACTGTGTTAAGCTCAACTTTGTTGGCAATACCTTTGGTAACCCAGGTAGAGCTGGGATTGGAGGTGTTTATAGGTACTCTAATTCCCATATCCTCCTCTCTTTTGCTGGACCGTGTGCTAATGTGACAGCCAATGATGCTGAAATTCGGGCAGTGATGCAAGGTCTTAAACTTATCCAAGCGAAGCGAGTTGTCTACCATGCCTTCTTGCGTGGTAGAAGGGGACTCTCTCAATGTGGTGAATTGGTGTTCTAGGCGTAGTAGGCCTCTTGGGGCTTATTGCCAATATAAGCTGAAATTTAGGATCTTTATGAGGATTTGTTGGCGTCTTTTCAGCATGTGTGCTTAGACGCAAATTCTGTTGCGGATGGTCTCGCAAAATGGTGAGAGTTTGGAGGTGTTGTTGGTTTATGAGGATTTGATTCATGTTTAAATGTATTGTATTCTACTATCTTTTTAATAAAATAAAATAAGTCTGCCAAAAAAAAAAAAGTACTTTATAAAAACAAATTTCCTAACAATCCTTGTTGTATATTGTTAATTAGAAGAAACATTGATATAAAGAAGGCACTTTATAATTTTTAGTAAGAACAATTCTGTCCCACGCATATGTATGTTTTTACTTTAATTTTAATAAATATCTGGAATAAACATAAGGTCAAGTATATCATTCTGTAATTGCCAAGAGGCATTTTAGTTTCCTTTCTTTGTTTATGTAACTTTTATGGGAATATGGCAACCCTAGTGACTTTCGTCTTTTTAAAAATGTTACTTGCATCTCTCCTCATTCGTATTGTTCTTCTATGGCCTTGCTCATTTTAACATGGTATTTTATCCATTTTACCCCTCAGAAACTACACCGTCTTGATATGTGTACTGATTGACTATATTCCAGTGTTCGACAAATCAGCCGGTCCAACTCGGAACCGGCCATTGGATGAGCCGGTTTGGCTGGTTTAGGTGGTTCGGCTGGTGTATCTCTATATAAACCCAAAAAATAAGGGATTTGTTTGGAACGTGTTTTTGAATGGTTTTTATCATTTTGATAAAGATTAGAATGTATTTAGATCATGAATACTTTGATATATATATGTATATATATATTTTTAAATTATTTTTAAAATACTTTTAGGCACAAATCAATTTTTTAAATCCACTTTTTCCACTACTTTTCAACTTCATTTGGATGAATTTTGTTTAATTATGTTTTAAATATACTTTTCATATTTTTTAAGATTTGTTGTAAAAATTTAACATTTTTTTTTTTAGCCTGCCCAAGACCTATTCAGTTAGGCCCGATGAACTACCCTGTTTTCACGTTACTTGGACCGGCCCGTGGCCAGTTCTTGGGTCCAGTTCGATTTGTCGAAAACTGATATATTCAACAAGGTTACTCATCTTCTACTAAGTTCAAATTTTTGGGCCACCTTCCTGAGTTGGATTGTACAAGTCATTTTATTCGAAAATTGTGCATACATGGAGATTGATGTCAACTAACACGTTGGGGTTGATGTAGTTGTCCGTAGATTGTGGGGATGTGTTATTGATCATGCTCAATTTTTTTTTTTAAAAAAAAAATCTCAACCTTTGCAATGTATTATAAGCTATAAGATTTAACATTTAACAGTTAAGAGTGATTGTCACCTCCGGTACCATAAAAAAGTGATCTTATAGTATACATGATATCTCAGGTAGAGATGATCAATTTGAGGTTTTTCAATATCGAAACAACCCCTTCTGATGAATTTATAAGGTGTACCTTAATTTGATTGTTTAAGACCTCACCTTATAGAATATTTCCAAAACTTTTTATTTCTTTGGATAATTCAATGGGGATGGCGGACCCCTATCCATTTTTTGAATGCATTAGGTGAGAATGGAAGCCTAGTCTTTAGTTGAGGCATACGTGGTGCTGCTACTACGACCTCAACCCCGTTCTCAAAACCCTCATGGTAGTGTGTATACTCTTCTTTTTTAAATCAGTTCCTATGAATTTCATTCACCCATGAACGATTACAAGGAGGTTCAAGAAGAAAAGGATGTAACCACCAATGAGTGTTGGTGCACACCACCCTGTGCTAAAGCATCAGTTTCTATATTATCCTCCCTAAAACAATGAGATAACTCCAAAGAACCACTACTTAAAATGAAAAAGATTTTCTATATTATCCTCCCTAAAACAATGAGATAACTCCAAAGAACCACTACTTAAAATGAAAAAGATTTTATTGAAAATGCTGCATAATCTCTAAGGTGGCTTCATTTCTCCTTTTGCCAAAGTAATAACATTGCTTGAATCACCTTCAATTATCTTTTGGCCTTCGAGGTCCTTCATTATCTTTAAGCCCTCCAAAAGAGCTCTTGTGGCAGCTTCATTCATTGTTGTACATCCACATAGTCCGGAGTAGGTGAATTTGTAATTACCAATATGATCACTAATGATACCACTATAACCTGTTGGGCTTGGGTTTCTAATCGAGCTTCCATCAAAGTTGAGTTTTAAATAATTTTCATTTAGAGACATCCAAATAGCATTTCGAGTATGTCTGTCATTATTAAGCTTGACAACTTCAAATGGGTTCTCAAAAATCCTTGTTTGTTGAAAACCATCCAGCTGCTGTTGCTAAGGTGTTGGGCTTCAAAACTTCATACTCAGTTTGTGTCCCTTCAAATGTTCTTCTAATTTTCTCTCTCCAAATATTCCAAATGGCGCTCACCCATAAAGCTCTCCATAATACAATATCAAATTTTGACAAACCAGAGTTTATTTATTGAGAGAGGATCGACCCTGAGATTCAACAACTTTCTACACCAATCCCATATATTTAGAGTGAATGGACAATGTAAAAGAATATGGTCTACACTGTCGTTATCCCTCAAACATAGCCTACAAACAATGACAATTATGAAACTTATGTTACAAAGGTTATCCACGGTAGGAAGTCTTTTTTTAAGAGCTACCCACAAAAATAACTGAACCTTCAGCGACACCAGCAAATTCCATATTCTTACTAAGCTATGATAAGTCACTCTGTGATTCTCTTTATGCAGTAGTCAATAGACAGACATAACTGAAAAATCCCTTGAAGCTGTGAGTTCCCTCACCAATCGGTCATCTTTATTGGGAACATAGAAAAAATTATGCAATAGATTCATAAGCAATTAGAACTCATGAAAGAAAGAATCTGAGACCCTCATATACCTGCAAACAATATTCCAATAAGAGTTAGTAAAATAAGCTCCTTTAAGATGTTTCACTGAGGCCAATAGATTGTCTACTTTGGAGATGACATCAGGGAAAGAATATCGAAGAGCAAGGTTTCCTCGCTACTTATCAAACCAGAACAAGGTTTGATCTACCTTTCTAATTACTAAGATATAATGATCGACACACATATCAATTCATTTCCAAATACTTGAAAAACCAACCTTAGATCTTGGACTTTTAATGAGACCAATCAATATATCCACTCCATATTTTTCTTTTAACACCTCTACCCATAAGCTATCGTGCTGATTTTGGAAGTGCCACCACTACTTAGTCAATAAGCTAGTGTTTATCAATGGGAGCTTTTTAACTCCTAGACCCCGATCTCTCTTGAAAATATATACTTTTTCCCAATTCATGAGTTTCAGTTTGTTTCGCATTCATACATTGCCCCATAAAAAAGATCTCATAATGTTTTTCAAAGTCTTCACCGCTTGCTTTGTCATTATGAAAGACATAAAATAGATGGGTAAGTTGGACAAAGTAGAGTTGATAAGAGTAGATATTCCTCCGAAGGACAACATTTTAAACTTCTATAAATCCAGTTTCTTATTAAATCTTTCAATAATAGGATCCTAATAGTTGCCGATTGGTTTCTTCCAAATAAAGGAATATCCAAATATTTGCAAGGAAACTTGCCAACCCCACATCCAAGAATTTTTGCTAAAGATGTAACCACATTATCTGAAACTCCAACCTCAATTAAATTTTTCTTTTCTAAATTCACTCAGTGACATGTTGTTATTTCCATACACTTTAAGAATACCCACAAATTCCTTACTTCTTGTATTCTACGCTACAAATGATAATAGTGTTATTTACATATTATAAATGAGAGATCATTAGTCTACCTACATTAAATCTAGAAATAAGGCCTCTACTCGTCACAAAATTGAGTGTAGTATTAAACCTTTCAGCCACAAGAGTATACAAGTATGGAGACAAAAGATCTCTTTGTCGAATGTCTTTTGATGCTTTAAAATAACTACAAGATTTTCCATTGAAAAGGATGCAGAAACGAGTTAACTTCAAACATCATTGAATCCACACTCTCCAATGTGATCTAAAACTTATCTTCCCTAAGATTAATATTTTATGTAGAACATGCCAATTCACTTTGTCATATGTCTTTTCAAAATCTATTTTACATAAAGGACCTAGTTTTTGCTCTTTCGGCTTTGAGTGTATACATTCTTGTACCATTAAGATAATGAGAAAAGCATACTGAAGACCTTTCACAATAAGATACAATACTTCTCCCAATCTATTTGCCAAAATCTTTACAACAATTTATTAGACACTCTCCATTAGGCTAACCGGCTAATGTGCCTATTCATGGTTATACATATTGCGCAAGGCACGGCCAGCCGTATTGCTCCACCGCCAATGGTTAATATGAATAATGGAGATGAACCAACTCAGGTCCGCCATGTCTCCTAACCTCTGTAATAGTGTCTCCTTGACCGTCCGTCTTGATAATATACAGTAGATTGTCCACAATGGCTACACTTTTCCAAAACAATAAATCGAAACAATGCTGATAATTACATTGTGAGGATTTATTGGGGGGCAATTCTTCCATGTATCCAGCGGACATCGACCAAAATCCATCGTCTCTCTCTCCGGTGAAGAGCGTACCGTCCTCTCTCTCTGGTGAAGAAGATAGAGTCCTCACAACTGGGCGCCAACCATTTTTCACGCTCAAGAAGAGACCTTAATCTTCTTTCACCACTCATAACTGCGTCTTACCAGAGTTCAATAATGATATCTTCACTTGGGTTTGGATACCCTGTTGAGCTCATCTCAAAGAGACGCCCATTTTCCATAAAACCAACCATTTTGAGGCCAGACCGCATCTCTCACAGCGGACGAGGGAGAAACACCTACATTTCCATATTCATGGAGGAAAGAGAAAGCACAAGAAAACCCAATGCCAGTAGAAATGGGGGCAGAGGAGCAGGGGGTCGAATTGGTAAAGGGGCACCCTATGGAACATCGAGAAGGTCAATTTTGAAGAAATCGTTCTCCCAAGAGCAGGTTGTATTCACGGCTCCTCTCTCAGATGAACCCCATGTGGCCATTATTGGGGCTGGGATGGCTGGTCTCATATGCGCTCTTACTCTTGAAAAGCGAGGAATTCAATCGACTGTTTTTGACACAGTAAGCACCACTCTCTGTCTTTGATGAACTCAGAATACCTCTTTTTCTCCATATCCTTAATTTGGAATTCCTCCCTTTCTCTCCTCTCTCCCTCTATCTATCTGCATGTTCCCACCCCATTCGTTATTTATGGGGGTGTTGCTTTAGGATTTGTCGAGGCCTTCTCCAGTGCATGAGTTTGTGCATTAAGTAAATTGCAAGCTAACACAATGACTAATTTGGGAGTTTACTTGGGCAATCATGAGCTTGCAGTTTACTCTTTATTTGCATTGCGTTTATTGAACGATGGGTACTACTAATGCTTGGTTCCCGATCTAGAGTTCTTGGATTCTGGGTTGTACTCTAATTGCTTGACTGAGGATGTTTGGGCCTTTGAGTTTAACTAATGGTGCTTGAATCTTTATACATTTTAGGGATATACTTAATGCTCAATTTATGATGTGCTAGTAAGTACAGATTGTTGCAGCAGAGACTTAGTTAGTGGTAACTTGTGCTGAAAAATTTGGGATTTGTTTCATCAAAAAAAAGAAAAGAAAAGATATATGGATGTTTGGGGTTTATTTTTGGACGAGTTCGATTTTTAATTTGTTGTATGTTTATATTCATGCACTTGGGGCATAGCCATTTTGATTGGAAAAGTATACAATGAGAACCATTTACCTTTGGTATGAGGTGGTCACAATTAATTTTACCCATTGGATGTGAAATTGGGTGGGCTGTATTTATTTCCATTGACCAAGCTCAAAGTACAAAATAAATCATAGACCAATCTTAAAATTCAAAAGAAACTTTCTCAATCTTTATGGAATACCCAAGCCATCAAATTTCACATCGGATGGTTATAAGTAATTGTGACCTCCTTGTACTAGAGGTAACTAGTCTCATTGTATATAATCCCTGTTTGATTTCTAAGATTGAGGAGTAATTATTGAAGATTTTGGTCCTTATACATGGTCTGCTGTCGATCCCTTTTCTGGCTATTTATTCGTTTCCATCAGTCAGGAAATTTAATGGTGAGTAATCACTTGTGTTGGGCTTGGTTTGAGTATCTGAATGCACAGACTAGGGATACATTCTGGTAGGTTTGTTTTTAGTATCTTATTATTCATGCATTTTGTGATGGAATTTGTTCAGCGGATTTTATGACAATCAAGTGTCAGTTCTTGAGGAGTTTGGTTTTGAAGATTCAGATATAACAGTCAAGGTTTGATCTTTAGAGGTTTTGTTTACAAAGTGTATGCTTGGTGTAAGAGCTTCCTTTTTTCTTTTTTTATTTTTCCAAGTTCTATGAAAGATTCTCATAATCAATAGTGGATAGAAGAAACCTGCATCAAGCTTTTGGGGTTCATGTATAATTGGACTTGCAGTCAGGGGTTGATATTCTTTTCATCTTCTCGAAAGGATGGTTTTTAAGGCTTCTTAAATTCAACGCCTGATATTGGTGATTTGAGTTCAATGAGGTTTACTTTCAGTCTATAGCTGAGTTTCAATAATTTTCTATTTTCTCAGGGTATACATGGGTTGGGGGGGAGAATGGGGACAAGAGTTATAGAGCCTCAACCATTGATATTTGATCATGCTGCCCAATTTTTCACAGTGAGTGATCCTCGATTCAAAGAGTTGGTAGACGATTGGATAGGAAAGGGTCTGGTTCGAGAGTGGAATGGCCTAATCGGGACTCTAGAAGCAGGTGGGCACTTTGATCCAATTCCTTCATCACCCCCAAGATATATTGCCTCAAATGGGATGCGCCGGCTTGCTGATTCTATTCTTTCTGAGGTATGTCCTCATTTGATAGCCTTCTTCTCTGTTATTTAAACTCCATTCTCTCTTAGTAGTGCCTGATGTAGGGTAAGCTATGCTCTAGATTCAATGGACTCTGGTAACTTACGGTTTAATGATGAAATGATGGACTATAATGGGGAGAGAATGAAACTCGTGCTGAACTGGATTTGGTGCCCATGCTGGGACCCTCTTTCTTTCCATCAGCATGCATTTCCAAATGGATAGCGATGATGTCTATGGAACTATGATTTTCCATATGTAATTGGATTACTTTATACTTACCCCGGAAATTAATAGGCATCATGCACTTTCATACTGTAGGAAATGGGAAAGAGTTAGTGTTCTGAGGAAAATCACATTAACGGATTTCTGTCTATTGTGAATCTAGTGTTATGAAAAGTTTCAAGAGATTGAGGAGCATGATTAAGAGTAGTTGTTGGCTAAACTATAAAATGCTTTTAGCATTTAGAGAAGTGCAAATTATTAGCTATGTTAAGCTAGTTTATTAATGTCTGTAACAACTATCGTTAGACTCATTAAACGTTGCTTCGATCATGGATCATCTATGTTTTCTCTAGAATTTAGATAATATGGGTCCTAATCTTCTATGTTTTCTTGTCCAAGATTAATTGCCTTCTAGTTTAGATAGTTGTTGAAAGTGTCACATTTGAGGAATTTATCTGCTTCTAATGTTTGACTTCTTTCCATAAATAGATACATCTTTTTTAATAACTTACAATGCTATTTGGGTTGCTTCTATCTTGAGTTTCATTTTATTCCATTCAGGAGAGAGAGTTATTAAACTTCAGCATATTTCTTCTCCCCAGCAAATCGTAATGATGGATATTGATTAGTCAATGAATAATTTTGTACCTATTAATATTTCCGCTTTGGTGTAGGATGCTGAATTGTATATGTATGTAGTGGCCGTAGTTTCTTTTTTTAACCCTGAGGGTATATCCAAATCTGCCCCCAATTTCCTACATAATGCATCTGTATGAAACCAATGTAGCGCCTAACATATGAGAAAGGGAGCTGCAACCTTCAGGTCTCCTTTTGGATCATTAAATGGTTCGAACATTAATTAATATTCACATATTTACTTTTTCTTATTGTGATAATCTTATTGATGGTGAGGCTCAAGTTGGACTTCATTGGCCCAGCATATTGTGAAGTTTAGACCATTGCCTTTCTCCGTCCTTTAGTTATTTTATACTTCTATTCACCCAGTTATGTTAGTATTTGTGGCCATTTTTTGCTGAATTGAAAGTTTGAATGTCAGTGCAGAGGCATATGATCAATGTGTTGAATCCCTGCTGGATAAGTAAACTAGAGCCATTTAATGGGATGTGGGACCTCTTTGAGAATGGGAAACCCCGTGGTCGTTTTGACACAATTGTGATAGCACACAATGGTAACTTTGTTCACCCTCCATATGGTTTCTGGAGTCAGTTTTGGTCTCTTTTATTTTGTCAATTCCTTTTTTGAATTTTAATCAGTTGTGTCTCTTTGCTCTTGGTATCAACAACTTTTTCATAGTGCAGAAGCACTTCCATTAAGTATTCTAATCACTGGAATTTAAATTCATGCGTAATTGTCATTACTTTCAATCTTTACTGTCTATATCACTCTTTTTCTTGTTAACATGTTATAGTCATTCATTATCGTGTGCTTGTGGATCGATTGATCCTTTGCTTCTTCTCGCCATTTTATTTGTAACAGGAAAATGTGCAAACCGCCTACTTTCTCTCTCTGGGTTGCCTCTAATTGCCAGACAAATGAAGGTAGAGAAAAAGAAAAGATAAACTGCCTGGCATAAATTGAGATTTGTTCAATTTTGGTACTTGGCTTTAGCTATTTTATTACTCTTTTTTTTTGTTTTAATTTTTTATTTGTGTTTTAGTTATTGTTTTATTTGAACTTAAACACCCACTTTCTGGGTTTTTGCGGTTGCGGTGATTGTAGAGGCTAGAGCTTAGTTCTATATGGGCTCTTCTTGCTGCATTTGAAGATCCTCTTCCCATTCAGGAGGCTCCTTTTGAAGGAGCTTTTGTCAAAGGAGTTGATACCCTATCATGGATGGCGAACAACACAAGGAAACTCTTTCCTGCCCAAAAGCATGGGCCTCACTGCTGGACCTTTTTCAGCACTGCTGCTTTTGGAAAAAGAAATAAAGTTCCACAGGTTAGTTGTATGTTGACTCTTGTTGATAATATCGTTGCAGACCAACTCTTTTATTTGTTTCTAGTTCCTTTTCTTCTTTTGATCAGTTACGAAATAGACCATCTTCAGCAATGTTTTTTTAGCGATTACAGTTTTGCAGCCTTTTAATAGTGCTAGTAGCATTGGTAATAGTAAAAGAAGCTGTTTTGGCGTTTGGGAATGATTGAAAACCCTAAATGTATAGTCCTGTATAATCAGGCCAGGGATCAGACCTAAAATCTGGATTTGGACTAAATTGCAGTTGGGATTTTTTTTTTTTTTTTTTTGAAATTTCAGGAAAATTAACAAATTTTTTAGCACTTTGGATCGTAAATTGAGGAAAGATTGCCACATTTATGGAATGTCGGCCACTTTTTGAGTAGAGAATTGGGCAGATTTTTGGATAGAAAATTTACGAACAGTGTTGCAGGATTAGGCCGAGGACACTCAGACATGGCCGTATAACTTGGCCTCGGCCTCAGCCATAGGCAAGTTCCACTGCAACTCACCCCAATCTCATAGAGGTCTTAGTAAATATTAAAAACAAAGTGCAAAAAAAGGTGAACGCCACCATATTAGTTAGAACTAAGCCTTTTGATAATTTTGATATTTTTAAAGATGATTTGGGAACTTCATATTTTTATCGCAATTTTAAAATTTTTCTGAAATATTGAAGTTCTAAATCCGAATTATCAATAATCCATCTTTTATAGATTTTATTCATCTTTTTAATTTTCTAATTGTTCCTATTGCCTCTTTTATTTATTTTTGCTATTAATTATTTTTTTAAAAAAAAATTACCTTTTTTAGACTTTTTCTTCTTCTTTTTTTGTGTTATATATAACTCGGCGGAATTCACTCAGACTCGGCCGAGTTACTCGCCTCAGCCAAGGGCCAAGTTCCTTGGCCTAGGTGATTTTCAAAACACTGTTTACAAAACTTCAACTGTTAAAACCCAATTGATTCTCTCACAAACTGGTTGAATGTATATGATCACCTTTGTTTTTGGGGTAGGTCATTTGGGTTCGAACTCACAGCCTCGAGGTTGTGAGCATCGAATGCCAATCAGTTTAGCTGTGGGCCTCAACCCCATTATATAACATAAATTTGTTTTTATATTTATCAGGAAAATGTTCCGAATGTCACTGCAGAGAAAGTAAGGGAGGGTATGCTTGGAGGTGTTGAAATAGCTTTAGGATTATTAGAGGGATCACTTCAACGCCCATTTTACTCTCGGCTCCAGTTATGGTATATAATTTCATTCTCTAAATTTTTGATCTGAGTCTACATGTGTTGTTTGTACTGTGTTTCTGTGTGTGTGTCTGTGAGAGAGAGAGAGAGAGAGAGAGAAAGAGAGAGAGAGAGAGGAGGAGTAGTAGTTAGTTTTAAGTAGTATGTTGAGAGGCTCTCAGTACTGTCGTTAGTAAGTTGCGAGGGTGCGCGCTCTACAACAATACGCTAGACTCCACTG